AACTTTTTGTGTAAACGCAATCATGTTATCATTAGTGAACACATTACCATCGAAAACATTTTCTTTCAGAGTTGGCTATGATTACTGTTACAGGTACGATTGCACACTTGTTAAATAATCGTAAACAATTTTCGCCGAATTCGTGGCCATTTATCAATTGAAGGGACACTTTTTTCAACAATGCGAAGCACACAATTTTGTGATCATACAGGGTGGGTGGGCGGGGCTAGTATTTGTTAAAGATAAGATTTATTTTGGTAAATGGCTGCACAATATTAACAGTAATCACTGGAACGAAGAGGATAAGGATTTTTTCTGTAGGAAAAAGTTAAACCTAGCTCCGCCCACCCACCCGTTCTCTCATTTTTTTTCAGAAATAAGAAATAAATGTTGTAGCAAATAACTAGTATAACTCACTTTACCAAGCAACATATTCACCCCGCCCACCCACCCCGCCTCCATTTCAGTGATTCATTTTGTCTACTCCGAATGAAAGGTGCATCTTAATTGAAGAGAGATAAAATCGTTAGAATGAGAACAACGTGTGTGGGCGGAGCCAGTATCTGCTAAGATAAGACTGATTTGGATATAGTTTTAGAAATTTCGTTCTACCCTATAAAATTTTATTGACAATAACAAGACGGAGAGTAGTACAATGGTAAGAAATATTTATGGCTCACACCAGTTCACCCAAATTTGTCGGCGAACATTTGGCAGGTTGTCGTACTCATTAAATAATGGTCATTTTTGTTCATGAGTAACGATAGTCCCTGTACGAACCTGGATTATTCTGCTTTCCAACATTTGGGAATTACCGTCACGCGACAACTTTAATTGTACTACTGTCCGTCTAGTTATTGCCAATAAAATTTTATAGGGTGGAATGAAATTTCCAAAACTATAAATGATACACCCTCTAAGAAAATCTTAAAGGGTGGGTGGGAGGTACTAGTACTTGTTAAGACAAGATTGATTTTGGTAAATGACATATCTTCTAAAAAAAGGGCGGGTGGGCGGGGGTAAAACTTGATAAGCTAGGACTGAACAATATTAAGAGTAGTCACTGGAATGAAGAAGGGGTGGGTGGGCGGGGCTACTGCTTGCTCATAAAACTAGAAAGAAGCTAAATTTAGCCCCGCCCACATTCTTTCTCCATTTCACTGACTTATTTTATGGAGTGAGCCGTTCCTGATTTAATCAATAAAATAAATTGATTCATTAATTAATTTTTTGCAGCCACCTATTTAAGCAAATCTAAAAAATTTTTGCAATGATAAATCACAAGTAAAAACTCATCACATTTGGCACATTTTCGGTAAAATTTAAGTCTGCAAGATTTCAGTTTTGCAATTCTTGATTTATTCAATAAAAAAACTGAGTGATTCATAAATTTTTTTGAGTGATTTAAAAAATGAGGTTCTTAATTTGATCAATAAAAAATTGGTTTAAGGCTATAATCCGATAAATCCAGCTCTTTAAAATAATTATAAAATTTGTTTATACGATTTTCGTTTTGTGATAGCCGCTGTAAAGTAAAAACTAGAGACATAAATAACACCCCTTGTCCTTCAACAGTAGGTAATAGCATTCTGAGGCTCAAGTGTTTATTTATATTTATACATCGAAAGAATGTCACGTAGAAGTTTGTTTGATTTGAATGAGTTTGTCTTCTCAAGACAGAGGACTAAAATTATTAATCACAATCGAACAAAATATTCTGAATATTATAATTCTTATTTTATCATTATTATATAAAGACGCGCGTATTCTTCACATTTTCGAGAAAATAGGGTGACTCGTTCTTAATTTGACCAATAAAAAATTCGTGATGACGTCATTAACATGGATGATTCTAGTCATAGCATAAAAGAAAAGTAGTCACAGCGCCATAATCAACGATACACCCACTACACCCCGGAGACGTTCAAACCGTATCGGGAATAAAACGTTATTATACCTTGCAAATATTTTTACGAAAATTTGAACGTTTAGCGAAAAAACCGAAAGAGGATTCGTACACTACAAGTATATGATATATTTTTGTGTAACAGTCAAATCATTTTAAAATACAATTCATTGAAATGACGTCATCAAATTGTTGGTGGGGATGATTAGTCAAATTTTGGTTACCATTTAACCATCTACATTATATTTCTAATGTACATACAAAATTTGACAACAATCGCTCCAGCAGTTTCGGAGATTACGTGTCTAATAAAGATGGATACAGACGGACAGACAGACAGACAGACAGACGAAAACGGGAGACTATTTTTTTGGTACTGTGGGGGACATCAAACGTAGAGAAAACCTGAAAGTAGCCAGTATCTATTACAATACTTCCTTAGCATACGCTTGAAAAGCAAAAATAAAATTTTTCTTAAACTACTAAGCCTACAAATCACGTCAAGCTTGAGTTATTAAAGGCCATTGTTTTTGCTTAATTGCCAACTTTGAATCAAAATGTTCACGATCAGAATGTTTGCGATCATCTAATATCTGTTTTACTGGAGCATATGACAGTCAAAAATTGTTGAATTTTTCTATTTTTTGTTGCTGCACAATGAATTCCATATATCAGTAGCTAAAATTAACGGAATTTAAACACGTCAATATAATATATATATATATATAATAACAATCACAGTGTAACAAAAAAAGTGGTCCATGAGGGAATTGAACCCGCGACTTTCGTGTTATTAGTACGAATTGTACGAATTTTTTTGAACATCTGGATCCCTAGGACACAAAATCTAGGCGAATTCATGAACCACAAGTACAAGAGTATATTTTATAAAATTTAAAAAGCATTCACCATGCAAAATTTTGATGTCACGTCATAACATTGTTAGTGGGAGTGATTAGACAAAACTTGCTTGGCGTTATACCATCCTCACGATATTCTTAAAATACATGTAAATTTACAAACAATCAGTTAGTAGTTTATGTCTAATAAAAAAATTGGTCGAAAGTTATTTCGACAGAACTTCCCTCGCTTCTGGTTTCACTTTCTTTAATAAATTGACTGATTCATTTTTTGGTCACGCTGTATAAGCAAATACGAAAATTATGAATGGAATGATAAATCACAACTACAGACTCATCATATTTTGTACATTTTAGGTCGGATTTATTCGAAAAACTTTTGAGCTGACGTCATCAATTTTTTGGAGAGGATAAGTAAATGTTTTAATTAAAAATATATCATTCTTATCATAACTGTAAACCATGTGCAAGATTTCAAAGCATTCGGTTTTGCAGATTCAAAATTAAATTGCAAAATTTTGTTTCAAAATTTTTATTTTTTTTTTCCAAAAATCTGGGCGTTTCGGGTAAAAATTCAATTCGGAGTCATAAACTACATGTGTAGGACTATGTTATTTTATACATTTTAAAACCCATTTACTATGTACAATTTTGAAGTGACGTCATCACATTAGTGGTGGGGATGATTAAACAAATTTTGGTTAGCGTTTTACCATCCACATGATAGTCCTAATATAAATACAAAATTTGACAACAATCGGCCTAGTACTTTCGGAGATTATGTGTCTAATAAAAATCCGGGACTGCAGACAGACGTACAGACAGACAGACAGACAGACGGACAGACGGATATCTTTGAAAGTGTAGAAGTATTTCAAAACCAGCACAGAGTATTTAGTAGGACGAATTGACGGTAATCTGTTCTTAAATTCAATCCTTTCTGTGCAAGAATATGCCAAGATAGTTGGCGAAACGCGCCGATATTTAAAAAAATCCTATTTCTATGTTTTTTTGTTTCGTTCGTGTTTTGTTGCACAACGTATTCAATATATCACAGACTAATATTCACGGAATTTAAACATAGATCAATACTTGATTCGGTGCACTCTAAGATAACAAGAATTGATGTGAAGCACATTTATTCGAAACGTAAAATTTGTATAAGTATAAAACATAATGTTGGGTTCGTTTTGCGGGCTCTAAAATGCCGTAGAGGATTAATTTTATTTAGAATAAAAATATTTTATTTGGAATCATAATTACATTCTGTGGGTGAAAAACAAAAGCTCGCTTTGAATACCGAAACGCTGTATCATATACATAAATTAGCAATTACAACGAGCTGAAGAATTATTTTAATTTGTGATTTCTTAAAATATAATTCGTTAATGAAGCCTACCAAAACATAAAACTCCCAACGTTTTGATGAGTTGAGAAGTTTATAAGGCGTAATCAAGAATGTAAAAAGAGTGTTTTTGTAGAAATTCTCGTACACTTTTATTTTTGTTCTTAGAGGGCATTTTCTCTGGGGCTCCATTATTATCGATACTCACACCTTCGCTTTTCCGCCAACGAGGAAACGAGCCTGGAATTAAACCGTTTTGCCATGTTTTTAGAATACGGGCAATTCAATTCAAATGAAATTAAGATAATTATGCAAGCAGGTTTTTACTCGCAATATTTCAGTGCTGATTTTAGATCTTTTTAAATTACGATTCTCCCTGGAAACAAAAAGGGCAATAACGAGAATTTCTTTAGCGTTTTTTTATGCTAAAATCCACAAGAATAACTTTGAACAATGAACGGGTGCCACATTGCTTTAATAAATATTTAATACCGAATACATAACGAAATCAGAGAGCTTTTGTGTTATGTTTCCTTCAACACGTAATGAGCTGTGAGGTTAATCAGTACTAGTAGCGGACACGACTGAGTTATATTTTTCTACGACTATTAGAAAGTCTAGAAATATCTAAAAACACGCGAAAGTCGCCTTATTTTGCATTATCGTAATGCAGGGCTTGGTGTTTTGTTTGTTTGTTTGTCTTTGTATTCCCTTAAACCCTACGCTTTTTATAAAACCACTCTGGACCACCGATATCCCCTCTAATCCCATTACGGCTTAATTAAGTTAGTGTAAATCATAAGACACATTCGATGTCAAAGCAGAAAATTCCCCTACTGTTCTCGTTGTTACAAACCTGCATTAATCTTGATTGTGTGCCACAATGCTTTTACGCCTTGTTTTGATGTTGTGTATAATCTCAAGTGTAAAAGGTAGTCGCACCTTGTAAGTAAATCAACAACTCCATATGTCAATATCACCATAAATTTTTTAGTAGAAAGCATAGTGTCAAATATAAGGAACTTATTGAGGAAAACAGTCTCTCATTACGAGACATTCTACCGCCTAAGCCAAAACATTACGACAAAAATAGGGCTCCCAAATTACAAGGACAACCCACTGTAGTCTATTTTCACGTAACTGTGTTGTCGCTGGACTCCATAAATGAAGAATCGATGGCAAGTTTTAATAAACAAAAGTCCAATATTTCATTCGTGAATAACTTTTTTAATGACGTCATTTCTAGATTGTATGATACACTTTTCGTTTTCACTTAATGCCTAACATTAATCTAGTGAATAGTCCGATACAATATTTTCAACGATTTCTGTACCGAGTGACGTAGGCATGACGTAGAGAAATTATTCTTTCTGTTCTTGTTAAACAGTACGTTTATTTTAAGTGCGTTTCAGATTAATAATACGATTTATTACTCACGACTGGCATCCAATAAAAAAACGAATCTAGTGACATGAGGAAAATTAATTTAGGTATCGATTAACGCGCATAATTGTAACTCGCTTCGTTTGCTCGCCTAGTTATAGTTAACTAATTAATTAATAATGAATTACAATTAACTATTTATTGTACAGACATACGTCACCGATATTTTCCTTGCACAAAGCTGGAGGGACCCTAGACTGAGACTCCCGGGAAATATGAGTGAAGAATATAGAATTTTAGATGTTGAATGGCTACATAATATATGGCGACCGGATTGTTTTTTCAAAAACGCCAAAAGTGTGACATTTCACGAAATGACCATCCCAAATCATTATTTGTGGCTGTATCACGACAAAACTTTGTTATATATGTCAAAGTAAGTGCATAAATATTAAGCATACTTTGCGTAGTGTTAAAGATATCGTTTTAGGTTGACCCTAGTTCTTTCTTGCGCTATGAAGTTCGAATCGTACCCACATGATACTCAAGTATGCTCTATGATGATTGAAAGTTGTACGTATACTAAATCCTAAGTCACACCTATTAATATACAATTTTAGTGTCACACACTGATCACGATTTAGTGTTCATTTGGAACTTAACTGATCCACTGGTTGTCAATAGCGAGATCGAACTTCCCCAACTTGACATTTCGAGTAACCATACAGACGACTGCACCATAGAATACTCAACCGGTATACCACTCTATCAAAAAATCCTTTTCGCTTATAAAACAACATTGTAGGTAATTTTACGTGTTTATCAATAGTCTTCAAGTTAAAAAGAAGACTTGGGTACCACTTATTCCACACTTACATTCCTTCGGCTTTAATTGTTGTTATGTCGTGGATTTCATTCTGGATTAAACCTGAAGCAATACCAGCTAGAGTGACTCTAGGAGTAACCTCACTTCTCACTTTAGGTACTTAAGTACGATCTGACCATTGTGACTTGGATTAAGTGTATGTTTTAGCCACACAGAACACTCAGTCTCAACAATCCCTTCCACCTGTTTCATATGTTAAAGCAATCGATGTTTGGATGTCTAGTTGTTCAGTGTTTGTGTTCCTATCATTGATGGAATTCGCCGTTGTTAATAATTTTATGGGTCCAGTAGCCACGAAAGCCATGAAAGGGTATTCTGATGAAGACATACAAGCACAATTTAGTGAATATAGAGTGAGTTTGATTCTAAATTTTCAAATTTTATATAGTAATTTGTAAAATTATTTTTAGGGGCTGAAAGAACCTCGGTTCAGTACCATAAGTCAGCCACAGTACGACACTTTTCATAACGGGAGAAGTATACCTCTGTGTATTGATCAGTTCTCTAGGTTTTTCTTTCCATTTTCCTTCATGATATTAAATATCGTGTACTGGTCCACTTTTTTGTAACTAAAGTTGTCTATTATTTTTTCGCTATATAAAAAACGCGGTCAAAAACATCCATGGATTTTTGAAAGTTTGTTTTGATCGTTCCATTTTCAACTCGCACCTTCAAATTGATGGTGTTTTCTATTGTTCTCACGGTATATAACTGGAAACAAAAAAAAAAATGGAGAGTCCTTGAAGAGTAGCCATCGAATCTACAAACAATATACTTGTCACTAGAAGCTTAAATAAAAATTTGATCTAAAAATCATAAAATTTCATTTCGGGATTACATTTTTTATGTTTGTTAAAAGTTCAAAACAAAACAGAAAATGTGTCATAAAACTTACGGTGACCCTACATTTAATAAAAATATCCTTTGAAGTGTGAAATAAACTCAGCTGCAGGCTACAGGTACGTATTTTACGTCTGTTCATTTAATTCTCTTACAACAAAGACTCATAAGCCTTGCTACAGTTGAATATTTGCATATTTTCTACCCAATATTAAGCTTGTTTTAGAACAATATGCCTATTCATTAATTTGAACCTTTTATGGCATTTATAAATACAACGGTGGTGCTGCCATCTATCGTCCGGTAGACTGTGTCACGATTCTTATAAAAGAAGGCAGGCGCAACACAGCATAGATGGCGCACTTTCTACTAATCAAAACACATTATCTTTCGTCTTTGTCAATGAATGACGTCAATGACACCCATGACAGCTGTCAATGCGGTAACAATCTTTTTGATTAAACGATAATTATGGGTTCAGTGTTATCGTAGTATGTGTTTTAATGAGTTTAATGGCGCGGTTTCATTGATATCACCATGGCACAGTTAACTAACCCCAAATCGTAAGAAATGCAAATTACCGATAGTAAAACATTCACATGCGCAGTTACTAAAAAAATACAATATTGAAGATGTATTAACAAAAAGGAAATAACACAAAATGGAAGGGCCGAAAACAGAAATGTGTCCAGAAGAACAACCAACCGGTGAAAGGTGGGACCCTTTGGGGGCTCCAAACGACGACGAAGAAAGCAAAAATGTGGACAGACCTGAAAACGACTATTGTGATAACCAGTAAGTTAAAGTATGATAAATTTAACCGAGTAATAGCACGTTTCTTACTAATAGACTAACATACGAAAAATTACGAAACTTAGAAGAGGAGCAGGAACTTCTTAACTCATCTTTATTTGCACTAACCACGCATTTCGCCCAGGTTTGGTTAGGTTGAGTGTGAAACGTAGTGTAAGTGTGTGTTATAGGTCCAATTTCGCCTTCGTCAAGTCGTCAACGCCCCCCTTGAAGACAAAGAGGAATTACTTAAGTCACTAGAAGAGTTTGCTTTTCGGGGTATCCCAGACATAAGTTTAGTCAAAGAACGAATGGATGAAGCCAGTTTAGCGGAAGCCGTGCGTTTGCGAAGATCACAACAAAAAGAATTAATAGACAGGTTAAAATCCCAGTTAAGGGAACTCGAACAATACGCTTTCGAAAACGGCGAAGCTGGAGTACCGCAGGACGTTGTTTTGGAACGACAACGAGTCATTCTAAATGAATTAAAAACGAGAATGAATTTGGAAATCGACGAACGTAATTATCACCAGGTATATAAATTAGTTTAATTGTCCACTGAATTTTTAAGCAGAGTTTTGTAGATGACATCAGCTGACGTGAAGCAACAAATAAATATTGCTTTAGACCAGCTAATTAGTCCGTTGAGGGTCAAAGAACATCTGGTGGCGCAATTAAAAACTCAGGTTGCTGATCTGGAACGCTTTATAAATTATCTACAAAGTGATACAAAACATGACAAGTGTTCATGTGGGTGCGCTTATCATTCTTTAAAAAAACCTTTCAAGTCTGATACTATAGGTTTAATACAAAGAACTGCCACTTTATTACAAATGTTCGCCGTGCTTCAATTGGGATGCGGCGCACATACATTTAGGAAGAATGATCTCAAAAACAGTATGAAAATTAATCATTGGGGGTAAGTGAAAATGGCGCAGTCGGTAGGATATAATTCCATTTTTTTGTGTGTTAGTGATTTGAGAGCTAAGCTCGAAATGGCCATTTTTCGCATCAAAGAATTGGTAAACGAAGAACAGAAGTTCATGCCGACGGACTACAATAGCGATTCGGAGTCCACGATAACGTACAACAGTCAGTTGACGACCGCCGTACGGAAATATCTCGCGACCAGTATAAGAGATTTGATGCAACATGGCGCAACAACGTTTGTAAATAATTCAAGTATTGTTCCTTTCATTGGATGTTTCCCACGAAGAGGTTCGTCGTCAAATACTCACATACACGCCTGGGAAATTATCCTCGAATATTACCATTTGAAAAATGGCGAGAAATTTAATTCGACGCCAGCGAGGAAACTATCTCAGAGTTTTAATTTAGACATTGCTGGTGCCTCCCCTACTAGCAATAAACACAACATGCTGTGCACTATTGGTAATATAATATCGACGCATACTCCATACAAGCGGAGTTACGACTCGCATTTTAAGGCGTTCGTGTGCGCAGCTCTCAAGTATGTTTGTTTCTTTAGTGACTTAAGTCAATTTAATAAGTCGGTTTTAGTTCTAATAAGTTGGTTTCGTGGTTGAGCCTAATTTTCCAATGCACTCAAATAGTGAAAATGCATTACTACCCCTGGAGCTACGTTTTCAAGACAGGTATTTACTACAAACTAATTATTGTGTCATAATAAGTGGTGTTCAGGTTTTCAGGATAGTTTAAAAAGTTTGGATACATTAACCGGCCTCAAGTTTGATCTCCCCGTTGACCTTGCCGTAAGACAGTTCCAAAACATAAAAGATGTATTTACTTAACTATACTAGTCACTTCTTCATGTTATTGTACATTTTTGTTAAGTATTATTAGGAATAGATCTGTTTTAATTTGATGGGTCCAGAAAACCACTTTGAATTTTAAAAATTTTGTAAATCTAGTCATAAGTGTATCTTAAATTTCATAAACGTTCTTACGAAAATAGGTAAGTTTTGGGGATACAGGAATAGTCGTTACGGCGAAATATCGCCACTTAAATCGTTATTTTTTGGACCTTTCACTTGTTAATTGCAGTGTGTGTAAGTATCATGAATGTTATATTTGTGTTTGCCAGATTAAATACATTATTTACAAAACTGTGTTTTTTGACATAGAAAAGGACACACTCTTGTGTGATAGTGATAGACAAAGACGCGCACTTGGATGTCTGAAGTGTCAATAACGTCAGCTTGCAATTTTTACAACTTGTGAAGGCTATGTTAAACAAACATCTATAAACTATTTAATACTTTTATTAAACTGAAAAATTCAACTAGAAAACAAAACAAACTAGAACACCAAACAACATCAATTGCGTTTTTTCATACTCTTCTGGACTGCTTTTACTTCTTTGGATTGTCCCATTCTGGTGAATACTTCTGCAAATAGCAGCGTTCCAAAGAACACCAAACCTGAACCAAACCAATGGTAAATGGTAAACGGATTTTGGAAGTAGACTATTGAGAAAATTAAAGATAGGAATTTTCGCAGAGTAATGACCAAGGTCACTGTCAATGAAGTACACTCAGTGGTTAAAACATAGACGGAACTTATGCACAAATACTGCGTAGTGACATTTAAGAAAATCCACAACCATAGAGTCGGTATAATAAAATCAACAAAGGGAATTTGATAAGGTTCAGACGCAGAGGCAATTTGCATGTGTTCCCAAATACTTGAGGAGTAAAAAATGAATCCTGGGATGGAGTATAAGTGCTGAAATGACAATTATAAGTACGAAAACGTCAAAATTGTCAAACGTACAGTGTAATATAGAGCTTCCTGTGGATGCTTCCCATGGTGTTTATAGATTGATTCTTGATAAATTCCCATGCGGGCGGACAGCAAAAGTGCCGTAGTCAGTAAAGCTATGCCAATAATCCACCAGAAAAAATGATCATCGGCTTGTTTTTGCTCAATTGGAGCATCACAGTCAGTGCACTTCTACAATAAACAACGAAATAAACACTTTTAAATTCATATTTAGGCACCTTCTTGTCTCCACCGCTGGACATCAAGGTACAAATGATTATCCCTAGGGTTATCATAGCTACCGATATGTATTTCTCCAAAGTATATTTCTTTTTCAAAATAAGAATCCCCATGATCATATTTGCAATAAGTGACCCCTAAAACTTAAGTTCTAGTTTTGTACAACAACGCTTTGTACACATACAGATCTGAATATCATATGTAATGGCACAGGAATGTTGAAATCAAAAGCCCAGTTGTTAATCACACTGGTGAGGAAGAATAATACTACTAATATTAGGTAAGTCTGAAATGGAATCTTTGGTTTGACAGTACCAAATTTCGATGTCATGATAAAGCCATGGATTGCAATAAATAAGAACTGAGCAAAAGTAATAAGGTGACCACACCCTGGGTCTTGCCTGAAACGCATAATTATATATATTGGACTCTCAATTTTTGCATTACTTACTTAATTATATACTCTAGGAACACGTTGTTTAAGCCACATCCCACCAAAGTGGTTCCAATGGCATAAATGGCCTTCGTATTCATCTTAGTATTGTATTAATACTTACGTATATTATATAATATTAATAAAAACTAATAACTGATAATGCGAAGGGTCATCCTACTCGCAATTATTTAATTACTGGGATCCTCTTTGGTGTTACAGTCGAATTTCGTATAACCTGAAATGACAACAAAAATGCGGTATGAAAACGTCATGTTTATCTATCAGTGTACAACTCACCACAATTAATGACTTGTTTAAGTGATTATTTTAGCAATATATCCATAAACATTTTTTTCGCTTGTCAAATATAACCTTCGAAAACGAAATAGGGAGATAATTACATCGCATGCGCACAACAAGTTAAGGGTACACCTATTAAACAACAACAGCGGTTTGTTTTCGGTCACGTGATTGATATAACTTCGACTATTGGTTTTCGCGTGTACATTCGTGTAATTGCATCTTAGACCGCCTCTTATGATAAATTTCGCCTCAGTGGTCGAAGACAAGTGAAATAACTTATCGGTTTTGCGGTGGATTAGACAGAGAGAAAAAATGACGTAGAGGTCATAAAACATGGAAATTGGTAGGTGACGTCGTGCTTGTCGAGCGTAGCTCAAGATGTCACTAACTGTCACTCGTCGTTCATTTGTCATTACGTAATCCTACGTCATTTTCTGTCAATTTACTAATGGATTTTTTGTTATGAGTTTAAGGTTATGGTGCATGCAATAGAAGGGCTATGTGGGGTGTGTGTGAGTACAATTCGTAACCCCGAGGCGACCGATAATGGAAAACTCACTGGAAGATGGTAAATGCAATAAAGACCATATCAAAGATCTAGGTACGTCTCAAACAAGTCTAAAAAGTACAAAAAGTTTAGATAAAAGCAGTGCTAGTGGTGGCTCGTTTAAAAATGAAAAAATTCATTTCAAAGAAGAAAATCATGAACATGACAATCAAAAAGTTAATACCGATGCTTCGTTAAAAGTGCCTCATAAATTTATAGCAAACTGGAGACAGGCATGTGACAGGACGAAAGATAAAACGAAAGATTTATTGAAAAGATGGAGAACTTTGCCTGAAATCGAAACAGACAATGCGAAGAAAACCGAAGAAAGTGGTGAGAAGGAAGGGCAAATTGAGAGCTGTGGATGGAGCGTCCATGTTTGGAGTAAGTGGGTGAAATTGGATTATTTTCCGGTTTTATTTGACACCGTTTTAGCGACCTGGGTGGACAGGTTTAGTATAGACTCAGAAGCAGACCACAGGGAAGATTGCCAGTTAACACCAACCCAGAACAATAAATTTTCTCACTTTTTTTCTTGCTTACTTGACCACGACCAAGATAACTTAATAAGTGAACAGGATTTTGAGACCCTAATAGAGGTACCAGTGATAAGTTTTATATATATTACTAACAACATACATTGAAAATACATGGGTTTTTCATCTTATTGGCCAACTTACTACTTTTCATATTCTTCAATACATTAAAATGAGTATTTTTGGACTGTGCAGCACAAACATTTAAACTTCGTTTTAATCGCAGAAGACGCGTAGCTGTTGAAACGCGCAATAGTTTGCCAAAATTTTCGGTGTCGTGAAGATGCAACGTGCTTGTGTTACTTAACTAATTACCTTTCAGAGTACTAATGGTGGTGGTTACTGGTTTCTTGTTTCCTATGTTACATTAAACGCATTAAGCAAAAATTAGTAATTTCGATGTGTAAATTTCAGCAAGTTTTACGTTTCGAATCGTTTAATGTCATTCCGTCAAGGCCAACTCGTAACTTTTTGTGTTTGTTGTGTTTTAAATTTATAACTATGGTTTATTGCCACGTGGTCACGAACACCGAATTGATTATAATATTATATCTAAAAATACTCATTGCTGTCAATAATGGGTACGTTAAACATACCGGGCAACGATTTAATGTTAAAATGTGCTATATGCATGCGTCAAAATTGGTGTAACGAAGTCGATCTTTATTTACCGAAAAATTTTTGCATGCTTTCTGGATGTATAGCGATTGCGACATTTTGCTGACTGGTCGATAAATTCTCCGGAATTTAATATTCTGCGGGAGGTGGAGCGTGGTTTCATAGAAACTTTTTTATGTGACATATCTGATGAGAAATTGGGTACAGTATTTTTGAACTAGAATAGTTTTTTGTATTGCATTTTTTTTACAGTTTGTATTACGTATTTGTTGCTCGAGTAAAAAAACGTCACAGTAATGTAGCATAGAGGATTTTTACAATCGGTCGCTTAAGTATATGTATGCTGCACTTTTGAGCACTGTTGGTGTTTTATTTTCTATTATTGTCGTTGTGTTTGGACAAATTCAACGCGACCTTTTGTGTTGGTAGTTGTTTATTATCGGGCGATCAAAAATGATTGTCCTTGATAGGATCAATACTCTTGATTGAAGGGTGCTCGGACAATCATCCTTGATTGCACGATCTAGTTACATAAATCTTTGATATGTATAACAATAAGCTATCAGAGTTGGGTTTATTTAGGTTTCACTCTTAATGGAGAAGTATACTTGACAAAAGATGGTTGGCTTTATAAATGGTCACAATTAATTTTTGGTTCGAGAAACTTATGCGACTTCCCGATTTGGTTGCAATTCTTTGTAAAAGTTCTGTTCCAAGTTATTAACCGCTGCGGTAGGTATCGATCGTGGTAATCAAGTTATATTTCAATGTTTTTTCAAGGTTCGGGGATTATAACCAGAGACGAGTTAAGCGCGTTTTATTCGTCCGTTTTGGGATTGGATACCGTGAAAGTGGGGGAAATTCTGGACATCGCATATCAAGCAATGACCTCTGTAAGTCGCATTTTTGGATTTTTTGGTCAGCAATGTTGTTTTGTTTTTGTTTAGAATGGCGACCATCCGTTGATGTTCAAAGCGTATCGATTATGCTTTGCCAATTATTTGTTGGGAAGATACCCCAATGGACCAGGACAATATATTTTAGGTGCTCCACCAAGTGCATTGTCGTCAGCAATGTTTCCCGTCGATTACTCTGCACTTAACACACAACCTGAAGACTTGGAGCAATACGCACCTGATCAAAAAACAAACAGACGTAGTGTTATTGTATGATTATTAAAATTTTGATAGATTAATATTGCAATTAGTAATGCCACAGTGCACACTAGTCATTTTACATTTTTACAATTTATCGTTATCGTATTCTAGTGCTCTCTCTAATTAGTTGTTTATTGGTGCTTCTTGTACAAACTTAAAATTGTGATTTTGTAAAATGATCAAATAAGAATTAGCATTTTTACACAAGTGCACCTTCCCAAAATAAAATTCTAAAATCTATGTGATATTTAAAAATTATAATTAATAACAATAGAACCGCATTTGTTATACAGATGTCCTAGAATGTGGTACAACACGTTTCAGGGATTCATCTAGTTGATTAATAACCATATCATTTTATAAACGAACTTCGTATAGTTCACGTTGTTCTCTTTAATGGTAGTGTTCATAATTGTTATTACTGTTCAAGTATACGTAGAACATTTCGTATTCATTCTAGGACCGCGTGTAACTTTTATTCTGTTGCATATTCAGCGTCACATTTGTTTCCTATAACGGACTACGATTCTCTAAGGCTATAATCAAATTTGTTATTACCAATTTTGTAAATTTTATAAAAAAGTCAATATTTTTCTTCGAATTTAATTGCTCTAACTTTGTTTACTTAGCGTAAAGAGTGCGCATATCATGTAAAAAGATTAAGGGCACAACAACAATGTCGTGACAGAAAATGCACTTAGGATCATGTGTTTATTAATAAATATTATTAAAATTAGTTCATTCTTATTTATTTGTAGTTGTTACATTGTTATCTAAATGGTAGGAAAGACATGTTTTAAGCATTGCAATAAACACTGGATTTAAGATTTTCAAAGTTGGTGTCATTATTTTAGGCTTCTCTGGTATCCAAACTTTTAACGTTGGCTGTACCGAGTGCGCGTCCGTTTCAAGTAAGTAGCTCTTCTCTGACTTCGAGGGTAAAACGAAATTTCAAATACGAAATAATATCTCCAGATGATGTTTTTAATCCTCTGGTTACAGTTTTTGCAATTTCCAAGCTCTCAAATAAGTCACAAACCCGATTTTCAGTAATAAGTCTGTCAAAAATATTTTCCGCCATGTCAAACCGACAAAGTTGGAAATTTGACAGAAATTAGTTTTTCGAATTTTATACACCCGTAATAAAACGTTACAAATCGTTGTTGAATCAGTGATGAAACAATAGTTTGATTTGTTGTGCCGGTGTGTGACTTATTACTTCAGTAGCACGCATGCGTGTCCGTGTAATTCAGTGTTACTTTATTTAAAGGTACCCCAAGTATACTGCATTTTGATAATAACTCAACGCCACATGTAGCTGAGAAGTGCTGTAAGATCTTATTAACCAAATTTTAGTATCTTTAACAGAAACCACATACTGATTTATATTAGTTTAATAAATAAAATAGATTTCATATGTATCGAATAAAAATTAACTTTTTGGAGGACCTTGCAGGCTACTCAGAGGTGGTGCGTTCGTAGTCGTACTCGCGGGGCTATTACTCGCCCCACTCATCGGAAAAGCAACCCTCTTATTCATTATACGTGATTTAGGTGGCGGATTAGCCGAAGAGTAGTTCAGCATCGGAGGGTCGTTCCATCCAGGATCAACTAAAACCCACCAATGAGCAAAAACCAAGTAAGCACCAACAACTACCTTTCTTTTTTTCGTCCTGTGTTGGTTTCGGGGGCTCACTCATTGTCGCAGTTCTCAAGGAACAAACATAACCTCAAATTCCACATCAACAGATTTTTCCATTCCTCGCTAAAAATAAAACGCGAATCATTTTATGCACGTAAGGTGAAAGCGTGTAATTGCGATTTCGAATTTTTGCAGCCAAATAAACGACAAAAATGTGCGAAAAATATGTCAATTTGGTGACTTTTATTTTTTTAATGTTTCCCCGTGGTGGTGGCAGCACCGCTTAAATGCAACTGTCGTTTGTTGTGTTGTGTAAGATCGCATTCTAACCTATCCTCGTAAATAAATCATGTTTACGCGTTAAAAAAAGGATTTTGGTGAAATAATTTCTCGTATTTTAGTATGGATTTTATAAATGATATAGGTTGTACTTTTGTGTAAAGTTTTGGTGACGTTTTTTAGTTAAAGATGGGGAACTATGAAAAACTGCATCTCGCTAATAACTTGGACGCTTTAGATCTTCTTGCAAAGCGAGACTGTGATGTTAGGAAGTTAAAATTTCAACAGTGAGTAGATTTGGTTTGTTTGGGGCACTTATTTTGATATATTTTTGTAGAATATGTAACGCGCTTAGTAAATTATACAAAAATAGTCAGTTGAACGTACTCGACCAAGAAAAGACTTACATTCTACTCGCCAGATACCTAAATTTATATAACTATCTTAAAAATAATCAGTCGGATAAAAAATTTGTTGAACTAAGATTTGGTTCGGAGTATGAAAAAGTCCTGATGCAGTATGAAGAAATTAAAAGGAGTCTCGAGGAAAGATATGCGGCTAAAAGAGCCAAACTGGTTCATGTTGAGCCGCCACAAGACGAAACTATGAAGGAGCCTCCAGTTGAAGTGACTTCGCAGCGAGTTTTTACAGGTAGGGGATAGTCCATTATAATAAAATTTAATAAAACCCTAAAACTTTTGTTTATCGTAATTGTTTGACGCTTCATTAACAAATCTCGTGGATCGCGGCTGGTTTTTATATTTTTTGGTAGATTTGTGGAGATCCAGAACCGTCCCGAACGCGTTTTACTAAACCATTGTGTAAACTTTTTTACAGAGGAATTTGTTTCGTGTCAACAATTATTTAGTGCCTTACATAAAAATCATAACATGCTGTTAGTTGACGCCCGTCCAGAAGTGGATTTTAAAGAGTCAAGAATTGATAATTCTAATTGCATCAATATACCGGATCATACTATCACAGCTGGGTACGTAGTTTGCGTTTTTTTTTATAATCGTTCTAATTATTTTGATTCAGACTGTCAGCCAATGCCTTAGGAAAAAAATTGCCTGAGTCGACGCAAAAATTCTGGGATTTGCGCGAGACTTACGACGTTATAGTTTTATACGATTGGAATACTTCATCTGACAATTTTGCCTCAACCAAGTTGCATAACTTACGCTCGGCTCTGGTAGATGTAAGTGTGATTTTTCCTCCCCAACAAAAAAACAAAAAATAAAACACGCACCGTTTTTTTTAGTGGGATTTGAATCGTAATTACAACGAACTGCCAGTTATTTTAAATGGCGGCTATCTCGAGTTGCTTCAAATGTATCCAACCATTTGTATAAACCCTCATGTGTATCTCTTCCAGAAAAACAATGAACTTGATGAGTTACTAGAGTTGGATAATATTAAATATCCAACGGAATCCGACAACAAAACTCAAGTAATGGGAGTACCTGAAGATACGGAAAATTTACCCCCGAAGGAAACCACCCCCGAGATAGAAGTTACAAAGGAATCTCTCATCCACGAAAATAAAGAAATAGCTCTCAGCCAACACAATGTTATCTTACAATTGCAACAACAAGAAAATGAAAAGAAGATTCTAAATGAGTTGTGCAATACAGAAAACAATATCAACAATATCGCTAACATGAAAAAGCGAGTCGCCGATATCGATGTCGAGATTATACAGTTTCAGAGCGTTCTCGAGGACCTCCTCAAGAAGAGAGACGACGTTAAGAAACGGTTCAAGTACCACTTCCAGGAGGAGCTCGAGGATGACATCAAACCAGACGAAATCCCCGAGAGCGAGAAAATGGAAGACGATTCAGACAAACTCAAAGATATTATCGTCGAGGAGAGAAATAAGGAGCTGCAGAGAGCTCGCGCCTTAAAACCAAAGAAAGTCGACTCAAATGCGACTATATTTAATAACGAGACTCGCGAACCCGACAGACCGACCATAAATCGGGCTACTAAGCCGACTTTTCATTCGTACATTTTGCGACCAAAGGTGGGAGCGCTTGAGAATATGGTAAGCTAAATTGACTTAAGTAATTCACTTTAAGTACGTCGCCGGTAAATAAGTTACGAAGGTATCAGTGTCAACGATTTGGTACTAAATCGGCATTCAAGCTAAATCATTAGTTGCCTATGTGTCAGGCGGCAAACACGCCGGTAGTTTTTAAGTTAGGTTATGTTGACGTTTGTGACACGGACGAGTGATCTTCAGTCGATTAAAAAATTTGATGTATTAAGTCTACCAAAAAACAGAGGGCGCCATGCGTCAAATACAAAACCACGTTTTGCATATTTAAAAAGAAAATATTTTGATTTGTAGCTGGCTGCGACCATATTGACTAGTTTACAGTGATACCAATTGCAGTGGTAACAAAAAATCAAAACGTGTCGCAGGTGCTTGAAAAATCCAGAAGACCCAATATTCATTTTATGAAGCTGTTGTATTGTTGTCATTGAATACCGATTGTATCTTCTATCATGTGCGTATAGGAAGTGACGTCAACTTTAATAGCTGAAATGGAACATGTAAACTTTTTTAAAAACGGATTCCATTTAATAATATGCAAATTTAAGCCTTCGCGTTTAAATGAATTCGAGAATGCGTGCATAAACATTTTTTATTATTTTATGGTTTGTTGGGTTACTTTAAAACGTATGAAATTTTTACAATAAGAACTATAATAGTTGCGGATTTCGTCATTTATGGTAATGTCTGATCGATTAATTGATAATTGTTTTCGATAACAATGAAAAATCAAGGTTGTTGGCACTGATCTGTAACACCTGTTTTGACCTGTTCGTTTCCGAGAATGAAGGGTTTTTCCATATTTTACTAAATTATGTAATGAAATAGTGTGATTTGCGCACGCAGATTAATTTGACCGTACTTAACGTGATTTGAATTATTTTACGTGCTTGAGTGATATTTTTGGGATTATGCGAATTGATTGTTTTAGACTTGTGGCTTGGTAGGTTTGCGTAACATTCGCAACACTTGCTACATGAGCACCGTGATTCAATGCCTGAGAAATATTCCTTCGATAACCCATATATTTTGTAAAGGTGCTTATGCTAAATATAATATAAGGTCCCCGGCAGCTATTATTCACGAAACAGCCGGACTCATCCGCCAGCTGTGGTCTAAGTCATCCAAATCACTCGACCCGTATGAGTTTTACAACAAAGTTTGCCAACTAGAAGCAACTTATAGATTAGGGAATCACGAAGACTGTATGGAATTCTTTTTGTTTTTGCTCAATCATTTATCCGAGGATTGTTGCTATGACATAAACTTGCCGTCGGTGATGACACCAAAGCAGAAAGCTTGGTATAACCAATTCGAAGGGAAGAATTCATTTTTCATCGATTTGTTCTACCATCAAATTAGGATTAAGCAGAATTGTAATTACTGTGATCAAAAAACGACTTATAAGTTTGAAATCGAAAGTACCTTCATGTTGTCGGTACCAGACCACGATTTTAGCTTAGAAACGCTACTAGATGACTACATGGCCGACTATATTATCCCGGAGTATTGTTGTGCTAAGTGCAAGAAGCCAGTCAACAATCAAAAAGAAATATGTTATGAACCTAAGGTTATGGTTATAGTTTTAAAAAGGTAAGTCGTGGTGGTGGTAATAACGGTAATAACGTTGTTTAACGGGTGTGTCTTAGATACCGACAAGTACACATAAACGGGAACGTCGCTTTGCAGAAAGTCGAATCTAGGGCTCACTTCCAGAAGAAGAATTTTCGTTTACGAAACTGCCTTTATCAGCTTAACGCAATTGCAATGCACTCAGGTGATATGAATTATGGCCACTACACAGCAGCAGCCTTAACTCCGAAGGGGTAAGTTTGTGATTTTTTTTTTTCATACGCATGCGCTACTTACTGGGTTTTAGCTGGTATGAATTTAACGACGAGACGGTTAGACCAATCAATATCAACGATGAAACACTAAAAGTAAAGGCTTGTGCTTTTTTCTATTCAATGTGTGATGATTAAAGAGATTAGATTTGTGATAATAAAGAAATAGGTTAATCTTGTATGATATGTACAGATTGAAAATGTTCTATTTTTTTTAAATTGGAGTTTATTAAACAGTTATTCTTTTAAAATTTTAAGTCATTCGTGGTTTGATCCCCGATGTAGAGTTTTGCCGGGGATCGAAACCCTTTTTTCCTATTTAATAGTATTTGTAATCTTTAGAATGTTACATTGCAGAATAGTATTATTCCGCCAGAAAGTTTGTTTAGTTAAAATGTTTGTAGTTTTGTATTGTACTAAGAATTGTACATGCTGATATCTATTTTTTGTTACTGTAAAGTGCCTTACGGAAGCAACCCCAAGAGTTACATTTCAGTATTCTTCTACTGTATTCCAAATATTTCTTCCGTAGGTCACTCACTTTCACTGTCTGACGTTACATAAAAAATGGACTGACAGGAGCATTTTGTGTGTAATTTAGGCACGGTCGATGTTGCAGACTGAACATTTGTAACCACATGTCAACATTACACAACCAATAAATTACATGCTGTTATTATATAATTTAAGTTTTTGTATATTTTTGTTTCGGCCAAAATTCACAAAGTATTAAAACATTTTTCGTGCGTCAAATTTTGCGCTCGTGGTAGTGGAAGTTCGCTTCGTGCGTGTTCGTGTTGTCACGTGTCGGCGAGCACGTGTACAGTCAGTTAAGTATCAACACGCTCAATTAAACCCATTATCAATTCGTTGTCATCTAGCAGGTCATGATATTGCAAAGACTGGGAGTGTACATACATTAAAATTGTGGTAGTGACTATACCCCATTGTTATCTTGGATTGGCTAAGCAGCCATTGAATTGTCACCCTTTTGGCGCCTTAAATGAATTGAGGTTATGTTACAAAAACAATGAATTTTTGATAATATAAAATTAAACACTTGTGTTTAATATGTTGGTGGCCTGCACGCTATCTAAGCAAGTAGTATGAAATTATGACTATAAAAAATTGTAATGAAGACCATTAAACTCTCATTGGAAAAACCCATGATTTTTTTGTGATGGAACAATTTAATGTGCATGTACCACGGAATCTTTAATTATCAGCTTTACATACGATTTGTTTTTATGGTAGTTATTTTTTATCAGCTTGAAGTGCATTTCATTAGTACCACATGTTTTAAAAATAGACGTAACCTAAAAGTCTTTCACACCGGAAAGTGTTAATTTTATTAATAAAAAAATTCCCGCGGTTGTGAATTTTTCAATAAATTTGTCGAAATTTTTAATAATACGTGCCTGCGCCAACTTTGCATCTGCTGAAGTCGTAAATTAGTTAGCTAACACGTTTTTATCACATGTTTTGACATGGACGAAGAAAATAAAACTAATTAAATTTATAACTCAGACTCGAGTCTCATTTTTTACCGTCGTACGGCGTGTGAATAAAACAAGTCTTCGTTTTTTGTAAGTTTATTGAGCAGTTCTGGTTTTGGTTTTCACAATTGAGTAACTCTCCTCCCAGATTAAAGTTGATATTTTCGGTTCGAAGCTAAAAAAGATGCTTCTTTTTCCGAGAGGATTACACTTGGGTTAAGATTTAAAATTGACTAGACTACGGATGATGTATTAAAAAATACAAAGTATATTGTACTCTTTGGGAATCATTATAGGTATAAATACTTAAGTAGTAGAACACTTATATAGTAAAATTACAAAAGTACGATAATATTGGTGATTATAGAGAAGCCGATGCTCAATGTTATAATGAAGTGACTTGCGAAGCAACCACCAAAACGAACGATCGAAACATTAATGACTGTATATTCATACCCAAAATACTTCCTTCTCCCTAATTTACTCTATTCTTAACATTAAAAAAAATAAAACGTTTTAACTTTAGTCATTTTACAATTGACAAGATTCGGCATACAAAAAAATCACAGAAAAGGTAAATATAATTTGTCATTTACGTACTATATGTCAATTCCGGTTTAAGCAAAGTACAATAATGCTTACGCATGCGCAAAGGCTCGACCTGACTGATTTTGGCACAATATCAAAATATACAAAGCGGTATTGCACACAGCATAATAACGATTTGGCGTAGCAAACTTAAACCCCAACACCTTTATGATTGGATGGTGCGAGATAATTGACTAAATACTTCTTGGTATCGCTAATTCACTCCTTTAGATGCCGTCATATTTAATGGATGAATCAGCTCGTGGCAAGCGTAAATAAAGTTAGTCAAAGCTACCTGCCACCACTTAAACTAACTAAACGTGGTAATCTCGAGACTAAACCTAGTTTATCAACAAAAATAAATAAATATAAAAATATCAATTGACTTGAAATTGAACGACAAAATGTAATTGATCTTTGGTGGAAGACTAAAAATTAATACTGATAAAACAATACAGTTCAGTGCGGTTTTAATTGTAGAGTATTACGAGAATCGGGATATACGCGCCGTATAAATAAAACTGGACATGGCTCGATTGGCTTGTAATGTTGGAGGTTTTTTTTTGTTCAGTTTGAATGGTGTTAGTTATCACAGTTGTACCACTTCCTTCTTCAGCCAGATCTTCATCGTCGGGAAGATTGGTTGTTTTTTGGTTACACAAATCTGCTGTACAGTAACAATATTGGATGTTGTTGGCTCTCTGACAGTCTCGATAGTATTCATGTTCTTCGCCACACGACCTTTCCACTGAATTTCCTGCCATAAAAATCGTTTCACACGACTATTTTTTCCGGGCGTAATTCAATATTTACCATGTGTTTTGATGATGCAGCTTTTAGCGGAAGGACAATCTTTGATGAAAGATTTATTTGATGGATCGAACTTATCACAGCTTATGTTGGCGTCGGGCCCGCAAACGTAGCATTGGTATGCCATGATAAAATCCACTGAAACAATTTTTTTAATTAACGAGGACAGTCGCACATTTCAGTAATTACCCCTGTTGTAAACTCCCAACAGCACTAACAGCACAATGTTAAAATTTAGCCGAACTGAATTAAATGACATTTTACAAAAGCGGTAAAAGCTGAATGTATGTTAATTTATTAAACAGCCGCACTTGCACACATAACCACATCGAATTGTTAAACAAATTCAAATTCTGTTTTTGCAGTTGTTATTAAAATGAATGTATGCACTCAACAGACATGAACACAATTAATGAGGTTAACTGGGGACAAAATTCACTGAACTGTTTATTCCGTTCCTCCTCTTCTTTGCTAAATTTATTCAGATTAATTAAAAATAGGTTTAATAACGACTGGCTGCGTTCGACGTATATTTTTGTTTGACATATTGCCAGAGACGGAGCGAGAAATGTCACGCCGATGTTTGAACGAAAATGACTCTTACGAACTTCCCACCTCGATTATTGCCGCTGTGACCGCGCATAACGCAAATTCAGCCACTATACCGGGTGTCTCACAGCCACTTCCCCGCTCTCTTATCACTTAAAAACTCAATTCAATGACAAGTTAATCATGCACACAAACATTGGCGATAAACGCCGACACGCCCTCTTGTGTCAAAAGTGTATCCTTTCTAACACCAACAGTCCACACGACTTTGCGCTTATTTTGCTGTTTAATTTGTATATTTGTAAAAAAGTCACTGTTCGCGTGCACACCGAGAAACTCATTTAGGTTGTCTAAAACAAATGAGTACAGCGTAATTAGCGTTACGTAACCCGACATTTCACAGCGAATTAAATGAACAAATACATTAGCAAGTTCCTTTGAACTTTTAGATAATTACGTTTTATTATCAAAGAGCTTAACCTCAAATTTTGACAACAAAACGTTAATCATTAAACTTGCGTAGTTAGTTGAGCGGTAAATGGGCTACCGCTTACGCGTTGTGACAAATCTAATAGTTTTCTCTCAAAGCGGAATGTTTAGTTGAGTAAATTGCTAAATTACTTAACAAGTTTCAATAAGTATTTATGATCTCGAGTACATATATTGTTAAATCTCGCAACGCTTCCTTATTAAAACGGATGATTTAATCCTCGCAATGAAGACATGCAGTATATTAATGAGGTTAACAAGGAGAAGTTGTTGGTTTTCTCCTTTTTTGCTATTTTTACCACATTCATTTGGCGTCATGGTTGTCTGGGATGGTTAATACAGCTAAAAATAGTGTAATTTTAAACAAAATACTTTATTATCACTCACTGGTTCACATTTAAAAATCCTAATTCTTTCATATTATTTAGATACTATGCAATAAATTAAGTACTTTAGGTGTATAATATTAGATAATATTAAAATATTGAAGAGGAAATTTACTTCGGCGCTACCTAAGGTAAGGGAGTATTTTAGGAGTATACTTCGATTGGCAGTATTGTAGTAAATTTTTAAATAATTTTTAAACCACTACAGTATTTACAATTTACTATTAGGTACAATGTTGACGAGGGATGAAGTTCATCACCTCTCTTAACGCGATGAAACTTGACACCTCTACAACACTCGAACATGTGCAAAGTTTGCAACACACCAAGTAAAAGAGAAATTTCAAAGCAAATTCTTATTTTCTTATCCAATTAAAATCAAATAGGGAACAAAATAGCCGAGATTTGGCACTTTACTAAGACTAGTGTACTATTAGCTCACTCAAGTCAATGCCTTAGTAGCAAGTCATAAGTTGGAACCAAGTAACGAAATTAGACAATTTGCACATTTCTCAATTACTTAGTTTAAAACCGCAATGTAAATTTATAGTATAACAACATTTAAAATAATGTTGCCGTTGCTTAATAAAATAACTTAGTTATGTCGTGTCCTCATTTGGCTTTCAATAACTTAGTCTTCAATGTCGTTGTCGATGCGACTGCTACGAATTCCGCTGTTTCCAGTCCATGGGTAGATATCCGGACAAGGTTGGCATGTCCTCATGTACCTCACTCCAGATTTATGCCACAAGTTGCACACCTTCGGGTTATTGCAGCGTTTTGGCCGACCCTAAAACACCGCATATTATCAAAAATTGAGGTTAAGATTGTAATTCAACTCACCGAATATTCACACTGGAAGGGTTGGAAAGATCCCAGTCGCGAATTTGGTGTAGGGTCCCGAATCCACTGAATCGCCTGCCAGTTCGTTACCAACCACACATCTTTCATTTGAAGGATGCTATCCAAGAAGTTAATGAACCCTTCCTTGTGGTGTGGTTGCGTAAACCAAGCAGCGTGGTAAAACAGACCGAAGGGCGCTCTATACACACAAGCGTTTTACAAACACACACCAACCTATGCACCAACGTACCTGTTAGTGGTGTAGTGTCTTTGGAAGTTTTTAGTTAACATTTTGAAAACGCCTTCGGAATCGGGAGGGTTACTGCAAGCGTCTCCCATAGAACATCTACCTCCGTTCAAGTCCTGCCACATTACCATGGGTACTTCCCAAACGCCCGGGTATGAGCGTGTCGGACAAGGTGGAATCATACAATCGTGGAAAAGCTTGTAGTCGAGGGTGTAGGGCCAGCTGGGTGGTTTGTTTTCGTAGATGGGCATGGATGAGTCGTAGGTGAAGTTGGAGTCGTAAAGCATCTTGAACATTTTGTTGCCACCGACCTGTGAAAGGTAATTATAGAGTCGGGTTGTGGAAATTAGATGTTAAGGTACCGATAAGAATGGTGCTCTCATTCCTCGAACGTCCTCAAGATGGACGCCTCCGTACGCGGATAGAATTTCTCTTTGGCCGGCGACTTCGCGGGTCCATTTTTTCTGAGAGAATTGCTCGCCGAAGCTGTGCCTATATTTGAAAAGCGCGTTATTATGGGTCATCGTGTGGGTGCGCCTTAGCGACTTGTCGACTGCGTTAGTGACAATAGGGAATCGAAATGTTAGTAAAAGCGTGTTTGTTAGAAGCCTACGTCGTTACTTTTACTTCTACTCAACTGCAACTGGTTATACTTTGTGCAATGATGATATTGAATAGTGCATTTGTCGGTGGACTTACGATACTGTATGGGATGCAATTTCGTGACCATCAGAATACAAATTTTGGACTTGACTGTAATCAGTCCATTCATGAGAAACGTAGAAAGTTGCAGCGATTGGACATCCGTTGGGATTGACTCTACCCTTTTCAAATAAATCGCTATACAAGCCTTTGTTCAAATCATTCACTGAATCGTCGTAGGTAAGAAGCACGATTTGCGGTACTTGTTCGACTGGTAGATCGCCTTTGTGTTAGTAGGCACAGCAACAGAGACAGAAAGAAAAAGTTAGAAAATTATAGCAACATCTGTAAAGAAATGACAAAAAGTAGGAGCATTGACAGTTTATAGCATTTAGAACCCCGGGCCAAAATTGGGCCACTTACGACACTGTGTGGGACGCCATTTCATGGCCGTCGGCATAAAGATTTTGAACTTGGCTGTAATCAGTCCATTCATGAGATACATAAAAGGTGGCTGTTATAGGACAACCATTTGGATTCCGACGACCACTCTCGAACAACTCTATGTAATATTGTTTATTTAAGTCATTTACAGCATCGTCAAATGTAAGGAGCACGAGCTGCGGAACCTCCTCGATTGGTAGATTTCCTAGTTTTCATACAAATTCAAAAAGTCTGTTTGTGATCTGTCATGCTTGTATGTCTTCATTAACGAAACCTACCAGGAATCTCCTTTCCCCCGCAGTAGCAGTCGGGAAGCAGACACACGTCCTTACGACATTTAGCCGCGGTCTTGTCGGGTTGAGGCTGAGGATATATGGGGTCGGGTCTCAAGGGAGGGTATCTGTAGATGTCAATGAACTCAGATGCCTTAGACACAATTGACGTGGATGGCTTCAGGGTGGGGCGAGGTCTCCTGCAAGCAACAACCGTTTAGCCAATTCTTCACTTTTTTCAATTCTACGACAATACTTACGATGCTGGTGTTCCACGATTCACGGTTACTGTGACTTCGTTGTTGACAATGTTGGCTCCATTGGAGTAGTGAGTGGATCCCCGGCCTCTAGTACTGGTTCTTAAATAGAACGGGGTGATTAGTTGGCGTGAGTACAAACAAAGAGTGCAAATAAGTTTCTGTTCACCACTCATGCACTTTAATTATCATCTGAATACTCCTGATTAACTGGTTATTACTACTAGATCCGATGATAGTAGTCTTTTATGTATATGAGGTACTATGTGTGTTAAGTGTGCTGGTGGTGTTACATGTCGGGATAACGGGTCCAAGTCAACTTCCAGTCTCATAAGGTTTCGAATTAATAGAGTGATATTGGTCTTAAAATAAAGCGTGATAGAAGTATGAGTCTGGTTAAAGAGAAAAGGTGCAAAAGATTAAGAAGAAAGTTGGTGATCATGCAATTTACCTAAACTTTGCAACATTATTTTACGAGGAATAAATACCTCTGATGTTTTGGGTCGTTGCATTTTGAATCGGCACTTTCATGACATTTTACGTTTTGCCTTCGCGTTCCCCCGAATGCAATTTGTGATTTAATTGCAGTATTAACCCGGGAAACTCGGGCGGGGATTGAGGTATTATAGGAAGAGTCAACCGTCTTAGTCGTTGTCGTTTTTGTCGTAGTTGTCGTCGTTACGGGTTTAGGAAAAGGTTGCAATTTATAATCAGGAGATAGATCGGGTTCCGGTTTAGATGGACTGCTTTCTTCAATTAAATCATACGGTGGGGGAATTTCTATAGTTGTTCTAAAACGCTTAGTTCCGTTGCGATCGTTCGTAAGCGGCTCAATGTAGTGTCTCAATTTTGTTTCACGAGAACCAAAGTCGTCGTCGACGTAATAATCGTCAATGGTCTTTTTCAATCCAGGAACAATTTGAGTTATTGGTATGGAAGATGCTGCCAGGTTCTCGACAGACGTAGAAGGTTTAGCGATTTTAGTAGTGGATTCGTCAGCATAGTCAGCTGTTAGTCTTGTTTCCACAGTCTGTGAGCGGCGGTAAGGCAAAATGTTTCGGACGTTTTCGACTTCAGGGACTAACTTTTCGGCTGACTCGAAACTAGACTCGGTTACACTGGATAGTCCGTAGTTAACGTTGATAGGACTGATTAGTTTTCTTACGGATTTTAGAGACTTTTGTGATTTTTCAGATCTAGTGTCGGGTGGGTTAGGGACAGTCGTGCTATAAACAACAGATTTTGGTAAGAGAGACTTTAGGAAAAATTTGGGGGGTGAGTAGGTTGTGGGTACAACGTTTCTACTATTTGTGTAAGAATTTTCGATGGTTGATGTTTTAATGGGCGATTCCGTAGAGACTAGAGTAGTTGACCTGGATGATTTAGTAATGTAATGAAAGACAATGGGTTTTTCAGTTGTTAGATGCTCTGGTAGAGTAAATGGAGCTGGGCTGTGAACAACTGCTTCTGATAGAACTTTGGGACTCGTGTCAGATACTACAGGTCGGGAGGTGGTGGTGGTGTCGTCTAGTCCAAGGCTAGAGTTATGGGAATATATGGTGTGAGGAGTTAAAGGATGTGGTCCCGGGTCTTCCCGTAATGTATTAATGATAGACTGTGCTTGTGTTTTGTTCTCATTGGCTGTGACTGGAAGTCTGCTAAAATAAATGATCTAGCATCAAAATACTATAACAATAAGTTTCTAAAATAATTAATAACGTTAGTCATTTACAACAACTAAAGCACAACAACAAGCCAACATTTTCTCGATTAGTACTTTCTTGTTAACTACTACATGTTTTACTGTTTTGTGATTGTATTCTTTACGAGTCAAGTAGGCGTGGAAGATACTACAAAAAATGAGCGAAGCTTTCTTCTAATGATTCTACAACACTAATGTGGTTATGAATGGGGTGCAAGCTTTTCAACTTTATACTGTTTTTGTAGTACCTTGGGACAGTACTCTTTTTAGGGGGAAATGTTCGTGAAGTTGTTGTTCTAGTAGTAGTTTTTCTGGTTGTGGTAGTGGTAGTAGTTCTTTTAGTCGCCGCTTCTTCAAAATAATTCAAATCATTCCTGTCTCCCCTAAGATTATATTTGTACACGGGTAAAAGTGGAGCATTTTCAACACTTACCTTGTGGGTTGTCTGTTTATTTGTCTATACGAATTCTGATCATCTACCTGCAAGAAATGTTTTGTTTTTTCTATACTCACACTTTTTATAAATAAACATACTTGACTGTTGTAACTGTTGTCTTCGTTATAGTCGGCACCGGTCGACGGTTGATATATATCCTGTGCACTATAGTTGTTTTGTATATAGGCGGAATGTCCTCGTTTGGGAGGTTCTTCTTGCGTTGACTGAACAGCAGGTGATGGAGTCCGTCTATAAGATTGTTGTTGTGACTGACTCTGGGCGGCATTGTTATTATTATTGTATTGTTGTGAGTAATCTGTAAATAATAAAGTTAACACGCCATAAAATTGATCCTACCAATTAACTAACCAACATCTCTATACAACTCGACATCGTCGTCATACAAAGTATAATAAGGATCATAATTGTTATTGTACTGACTGCTGTTATATAGAGACCTTGCCGTAGCTGTAGCCGTAGAAATCGACGCTGGCTGCACCGGAGGCGGACTACTTTGCTCAACCCTAAACTCAAAATCAACTTTAGAAATTAACAAAAGAGAAGCAGTGAGTAGCTAGTCCAGTCTTTCCAATTACCTTATAGTTGCGTCATCGTCAGTTAGTCTTTGTCGGTGTTTGTTTCTTGAAGGTCGGGTCGTCGGTAACGTCAGTCTAATTTTTTGTCGCGTCGTGTACTTCGGTCTTTGTGTAGTAGAACTAGCCGTACTATAAATAGACATGTACGTTCCGCTCGTCAAAATTTTTTTAGTAGTCGGCCGGAAAGTAGTACTAACAGTCGTAGTCTGAGGAAGTCTAGTAGACTTTAACGCTTTCGAGGGTTTCCCTTGATACTTAGCCGAATATTTCAATTCCCCGTTCTTACTCGTGTTCACGGGACTAACACTCGACTTCTGCGGATAGTCGTACTCGTCGTCGTAGTAGTACTCTTCATCGACCGGTTTCGTCGTCACCTTCACCGTAGGCTTAATCTGACTCGAGTATATCTTTTTCGGTGTTTGACTCGTCTCGTATTTACCTTCATCTTCGTCTTCATCTTCTTCGTAATAATAGTATTCGTTTTCTTGAACATTTTGCGGTGGCAATGTTGTCTTTGGTTTCACTACGACTTTTTCCTTTTTGGTAACGGTAGGTTTCGCTTCAGGCGTCGGAGTAGGTTTGGGTTTGTCTTCAAACGGATCTTCGCGTAAGTTTGCCAAAAACTTGTCAAAGTCGAAATCGGGACTAGCGAACGGGTTTTCGATATTTTCGTACTTATTTTTCGACTGAAAGTAAGAAGAAGGAGGACCGAAGAATTCGTTAAATTCGTAGTTATCTTCGTTTTCTTTAGACAGTTCGCTGTACACTGGAGTCGTCGTTGTTAGTTTTATGTTCGGATTAGTAATTTGTACGGCGGAAGTATTGTGATTAATAATGTGTGTGTGTTGGGGTACCATCACATTGTTTTCGTGTTTGTAGTAGTTCAGAGAGTGTTTTAGTTTATTAGGCATGGGTGGTCTAAACGTGGTAACACCAGTAAAGAAGTTGCTACTAGTCGAAGATTTAAAGATAGTTGTGAAGGGTTCTTTTTTGGCAATGGTGTGTGTCGGTACCTTGTGATAATCTGGCACGAAAGGTCTGAAGTCGTCGTCGTTTAATTGACTAGGTACATACGCGGGGGAGTAAGGAGTATGTACAGGAGGAGGTTGTAGCGTAAAAGGACCTATATTTACACGCGACGTTTTAATGTTTTGTTGACCACCACGCCACGTTGTCTCAACTGAACGAATTCGACTAGAAACACACTATATTGACGGTGTCGTCGTTATAATGTCATTGTTACCTTCGTTGCGTCTGTCTTTTCCGTCTCCTCTTGATCGTCAAGTCATTAGTCAGTAAATCGTCAGTTTGTCTAATAGTAGATGCGTTATTCGTCAGATTTGTTAGAACCGGCAACTCTTACCTGTATTGTTGTTGCTGCGTACCGAATGATATCACCCCGATTCTGTCACCACCTCGTCCGCTATAAGACTATCCAAAGCTTCGATTATTGCTACCAGTCGTGACGAACTTACCTGGATTGCGTTTGAATGCCTTATTCCATCTCTATCCTTTTGTACTTGACCAACTGTAGATGGTTGTCCTCGATATACACGTTGTTGACGATCACTTTCAATCTCTTCTGCGGGTGGAAGCGTTTCTTCCACATCCGTATAGAGCTGTTGGCGTTGCTACAAAAACAACAGAGATACTAGAAATCTTGTAAGGGTGACTACACACCTTTATTATTTCTTGCTGGTTGTGGTGGAGTTGTCTGGGTTGACCCCTAGACGTGACAATGGCGGCCGGCTGTGGAGGCGGTGGGGTTGGTGGTGTGTAGCGTGTTCTTGGTTCTTCTCTTGTTCTACTAGGTGGGCTTGCCGAAGTTGCTGATACTGATACCGGTCCTTGTATTTCGGCACCGTCACATCCTACGTTCCGTGGCCAATCACATGTTTGTAGCTCGTGACTATACATAAGTCCTCCTGTGCATGATTCTAGCAGTGCTCCCCCGAAGACACAAACGTAGTACTGGGTACAGTCGCTGGGATGGGGATAGTAACCAAATTCTTCGGGGCAGTTGAAATTTACAACGGTTTTGACTTCACTTGCGACGGCTACATTTCTGCTGACCTTCCGTTGACATACTGCAATATCTGGAAACAATGTGCACTTAGTTTGTGGTCTACTATTACTAGTGGGGTTTAATTTTTCCAAGTAGTACTGTTTCTGGTGTAAATGTTTATAACGGAGTACATTTTTAGTTCTGGTACTACCACTCACAGTTGTACTTGCGGCGGTTAATTAGTTTTCTAATGGTCTTATTTTTTGCGGGAAGGTACTACCCGACGGCAGGCACTTGATTAAAGTTAAATGGATGTTTATAATAGAGTGGATGTCTCGTGAGGTACGCAGCGATTTGCATCTTAATGGTGTTGCGCATCAAAACAATCTCCACTTTTTTACTACTTATTGTAAAATCATTTTGTTTTATGTTTTTATCTCATTTAAAACGTCCTGTTCTTTATGAGGTGTGGGGAAATACATACTGCAAAATTTTTGTAATCGTGCTTAGTAGAAATGTCGAGTTTTTTCTTCGTGTCAGTCAACCGCATAGCAAATGACTTTGGTCAAATCCGACGTAGTTTTCTTTTTATCATTATTGCTTCGATACTTCCGTGATTTTCATTGTTGCTTCACTCCATTGTTTGTCGCCACATTCCAATTTGGTTTCTGATTTTATTATTTTGTAATCTTAAGCTCACGTCCTTGAACAAGTTGTTCATTTGGTTATTAGTTGCAAATTTTCTATTGTTGTAAGAGATTTCTCTTTGGTTGCTGGTGTACAAATTTTGAGGAAAGTTTTCGTACTTGTTATGTGTGCGATTTTACTTTATTGAAAAATGGAACTAAATAGTTAACATCTAAACGGTAAGACGAGACATTTTTTATCAGAACTTTCTAAACTCTCACTTGTTAGATTAAAATTTGGGTTTATTAGATTAATTTTTTATTAAATAGTATGGAACTAAACGCGTAATTAAGGAAATGAGTGTTTTTTGCCAGGTTACTTAAAGCGAGACACGAAATTTATGGCTACCGAGTGGAAGTACCACTACCAGTACTTCCCTTTTATTTTATCTGTCATGTAGGATGGTTTTTAAATTGATTTTATCTGTAAACGAGTATTTAAGTGTCACGTATTTAAATTATGTGACAATTTGTCAAACGATTTTGCGAAATCCCAGATGGTAGATATTATTCAAACGTCGGATATCAAGAGTACCTTTTTATACAAAGACTAGGAAACAATATTTGTATTGAAAACATATAAAAGAAACCGTTAAAAATATGTACAATTGGGTCGTTACTTTCTATTATGTAAACTCTCGACAAGTAATATTTAACTGTTTAAAATAACCAGACCAATTTGTTATGTAAGTATCAAGCCGAGAAGCTGGGAAAAAGATCAATTATGATTTGTTCAGATTCGTCTTAACAATGATGGGACAATGTGTGTCACAACTTAATAATTATGCTTCTTAAACTATGGGAATCAACAATGGATTCTCACATAAGTACCGTCTACCCAAAAGAACACATCACTCTAATGCCAAAACATCTGAACACTTATATAACAACATCACACAATTACTCAGCTGTGATATTTTTTAATCGATTAGCGTCTAAATCTTTAAACTTTAAAAGTCAAGTTAACCACTCAAATAAATACTTTCCAAGTTGAAAGTAATCTTCTAGCAATTAAGTAATTTCACTTGATCTTGACCCTTAAACAATTGCTATACACACAACCTTATAAGCACGGCAATGAACAGGATGTCGTTTTTTATGTAATATCTGATCTTATTATAGTGACAGAACAGATTAGCAGTTCATTTATGGGGCGCCCACTTTGTGCTCTTAGAATAAATCAGCGGCGTTGTCAAGAGGTGGGAACGTCCAACTCCGCCAAGGGACTACAAGAGTGAATTTATTTCAGCCTTCGTGTCAAAGTTTTAATAAAACTTGAAGAAAAACCTTTACAAAACGTAGTAGTGGTGCGAAAATCAAAGATGCTTCTGTTTTTGGCAATCGATTGTCAAATCGCACATACCCAGTAGGTGGTTTTTATTGTTATGTATTTTCGTAGACAAAGGTTTCAGGGTCACTTAAAGTATAAATTATAAAAGTAGGTGCAACCACAAGCAAAAAGGCCAAGGTTTGGTTTAAAAGAAATATTGTTCAAATAGAGTGAAAAAAATAGTGGTATATGCGTTTTTAGTTATCACTATTACGTTCATCAAGGTGGAACTATAAATTGGTACTAGAACAGTACCAAAGGTATAATTCAAGAGAAATTTTCTTTCACAAAGGATGGGCGCGAAGACAAAGACAAATATTTCGACCAGATGAGAAAAAGAACTAATGCAGAAACAATGTAATCACAGTTTCCTTACCGGGGAGCTCATAATGCAACAGCGCTCAAACAAAAACACAAAGAAAGCATGTTTTGATCCCCGAGTGAACTCATTCATCACTCGAGTGACTCTTAAATGCAGAAGAACAAAAGCAAGAAATAAATGGCGGGCAAGAGAAAATAAAGTAAAATTAATATTGTTTGCATCAGAGTAGATGAAATGTTGCACAGCAGGTCGAAAATGAGAACGGTTATTGCAACAGTGATAAGGGCAAAACCGGTCACATTAAAAAAGGTTGAACCCATTACGTTTCTTTTTGGATTTAGTCTGGCGCGAATTGTTGTATAATGTCTGGGTGTTAATTAAAATTTTGTCGTGGGTGTGCACTTTCTTAATATTAAAATGCGTTTGTCTTGTGTTATGCGGATCAGGAATTTCAAGTCATGTATAATAGATTTCTAGACCATAACAAGTGAAAACACTGATAATTTTCTAGTTTACATAGGGAGGAGAACGCAACAGATGTTTTCGCAAATGACCCACATTGCCGGTATTTACTAAGTTGCATTATTCTCACATATTATTAAGATTCAATTGTGTTTTCATTAAGCGATCAAGATATTTCGTCACTTCTTTAACGTGATATTATCTCGCCGTTTCTGTTATTTATAACCAGTCAGACCGGGATCTTGTTTAATTGTGGCCATTGTGAGATTTTGGGCGAAGGTTTTACGCAGTGCAACTAATTGGGACCTTTCTTGTTTACCAATTTGTGCACCCATCTGGTTATTAAAACCCACTTACGTGGAACGATATTACCATAAAGGAAGTGGCTTAAACGCAGTTCGATTACGTTCGGATTCCATTAATATCTGACTTATTAGAGACAAAAAAGACAGACTGGTAATAGCAACCTAAAAATAGGAAAATCAATCAGCAACACTTTCTTCAGCAAGCGCTTTTTCTTCGAATCGAATTTTAATCACTTCAGTAATTGTATTGTTTTTGTGCTATCCCACTTTCAAAGCAATAGCTTACAAATGCATTCAAATGTGTTTCGTGGAATGGAGGATTTTAACAGTTTCAAATAAAAGCATTGTAAAATTAACGAGCAATTAGTAAGCAATTAGGTACGCGCTATAAATAATGTTTGTGTTTCGTTTTAATATTTAAAAGACAACTTTTGATTGTTTACGATTAATAAAAATTTCTTTGTTTTTTGCGTCCAGGTATTTATAAATGTATTGTTTTTTAGTCGGGCTAAAAGTCTGGCTGTCAAGGTTGTTGAATGTTGTAAGTATAATTAAAATACTTTATCGTCCAGAAACAATTTACTCTTTTGTAAGGTGTGTTTCAAAATTTCGTACATGTAAAAATGTGTTTTTTATCCTCTTTTACAAAATTCTCGGATTTTGTTTGTACTATGAAAACCACATTATGAGGTAACAACTGATTTTAATAAAAGATCCATTTCGAGTTGTACGTTTTGCATATGTCAAGGTTCTTTAATGTTTTATTTAAGACGTTTTTAAAGACGAAATTATGCGACAAACAGATCTCTTGTTCTCATCTATCACATTTTTTATACTTTCCTTGTACGAATGAAATGTCGAGATGATATCGCGCTAAAAACCATATTGAGATATCAGGAAACGAATTTACGATCACTCGACAAAAATGTCATTCTTTTAGAAACCTCAAGGTGAGTACTTTAGTGACGTCGATAGTGACATCTGCTGCAATGGAAATTCTGGTGGAATTAGCGCGTTTGGACTTTCTCATACCGCCGTCACACCTACTTTTAAACTCGCATCAAAATTAAAATCCGAATTATGTTATATTTTGACCCTCTGAGAAGCTTTTTGAACCACGAAACACTAAGCAATTTAAATAATCGTTAAGTTCCTTCTGGTGTTGGTCGTACCAAGAGCTATCAATTACACAAAATCGTGCATGAAGTATTCATGCGTTAAGGAATCATTACTTTATGTTTATTCTTGCGTAAGACTCACCTTTCTGTAACCTTTACAACTACTGTTTGTTAACCCGAACCTACAAATTACTCTTGTGGTTACTCGAAAATGTTACTCTTAAAAATGGTTCAAGCTCTCTTCTAGACACGAACTCTTGCAAGACAAATGCACGTTTTCATTCAAGTGCTTCTGGATGACTAAACCCAGCATCTTTGAACTCGTGAACAAAATATTGTGTAACACAATCACAATAAATTGCACAAGCTTTTGTAAATATTATCGAGGAATTAATTTTGACATTAACAGTATTTTTAAATATAATTTCACTGGTTCAGAATTTGATCCTTTCTCTTTTAAATCATACTTTAAAGGTCCATGTCAAAGGTTACACCCGACTAGGACTAGGAAGTATTGTAGTCAACAACAATAAAATAACAACCATACGTAGAGCAAATCACCATTAAATGCAACGCTATTGTTCTTATAGTGGATGGGTTTGTTTTTATTTGTTGCTTGTCATCAAGTAGTTGTTTTTGTTACGAGTGGGCTTCCTTTTTTTTTCTAGAGAAGGTAAAGGAAGCAATTATTTACACTATTTAACATCTTGACAAAAATGGTGCCCGAACAAATCACTGTTGTTGTATCCGTTAGTACTATTATTAGTAAGTGCGGAACTGACAACACTGTTTTCGAAAAATCACGCATAACGTTCAATGAATACAAAAACTGATACCCGACTCTTATATCAGAGCGTGTCGTAAGCGT